CTACATCAATGTCTGCTAATGGGTTCATGGGGGGGGGGAGAGAGGCTTTTTTGGTTTGATTAGACCAGATTGCGTTTTCCGGTGTCTTGGTCTATTCTCATAGGTGCTGAAGAACTTGTCCATGGGAATGCGAAATAGCTTCTCGTACAGGATCAAGGCCTTTTCTTTGATAAGGGAACATATTGTGATGCTTCCTGTAATTAGGAGCATTGCATCAATGGGTGTTGGTTTTATCCCTCCAGTAATTAGTCGTAATGCTTGGTTGTGTGCCTTCTCGAGTGGTTTGAGAGTCACCTCTGTGGCTGTAATGAGTGACTCACAGCAATATAACGTTATTGGCTGAATAAACATCTCGTAAGTGATGTTGAGAGTTGATCGTGTACCGCCCCATACGCTACCAGCAAGACGCTTCAGTACATTCAGTCTATTGGAGACTCGTTCTGCTATTTTAACAATGTGACTTTTCCACGTTAGCTTTGTGTCAAAAGTCATTCCGAGAAATGTGAACTCATTGGTTTTTTCTAGGGTAGTATCCTTGTACCTTAGAAGCGGGTTTATGATGTGATGGACAAAAGAAAAAGTTTGGAATGCAGTTTTGCGGTGTTGATTACCATTCCATTGTTGTCGCACCAGTTTGCTAGTAGTGTAAGTGCACATTTTAGAGCACTTTCCGTCCTTTAATGAGCATGTTGCAGTGGACAATAATGATGAGGCTTCCGTCTCTATTCTTATTTCACATAATGGCAATTTAGAAAAATATGACAAAGATGGTCTAACTCCTCTTACGTTGGCTGTGGAGAAAAATAACATCTACATAGTTCGCTATTTAGTTGCACAGGGAGCAAAGGTTTTTAAAGTTTCTGCATGAAAATGAACTTTCACCTCTTCTTTATGCTGCCTTCATTGTAAGTCCACCTCTTGATGTTATGATTTTAGGGCCGCGCGGATATCCTTCAAGTCTTGCTGAATGTTGAAGAGACAGATAGAGAGACGAAGAAAATGGACATGTTTTTCGCTCTCTGCATGACGGTCGAAAAAGGCTACCTCTTGGCAGCAAAGCTCTTGATTGATTATGGAGCACCATTAGACCGTTTGAATGAAGTTGATTTAAAACCTTTGGAAATAGCCATTCTTGAAGAACAGGAAGCCATGGTTTCACTTCTTCTATCTCACAATGCCCCGGTTAATGGTTTTAACCGATATGGCTTTACGCCACTTATGATATCAATCATTCATGACAACCCTTCAGCAGCACCACAGCTGCTTTGGTATGGTATGGCACAATAATTGCACTAAGACACTTCGTTGTGTTTAGGAGCAGACCCGGATGCGCTGAGATATGGCGTAAGAGCTACAGGAGAACAGGTCGCATTGAATATGAGGAGGGAGGAAATTTCCCAAATAATATTTTCGTGGAAATATGAGTTCGTGCCGTCACTGTTTGGATGGTGATAGAATTTGTTTCCCTTATCTTAATAAATCATTGACTTGGTATTTTATCACCAGAGGATGACTCGAATTCCTACTGGAGATTTATATATTTCTCTCCTCACAGGTAGCACATTAAGCAGTGGGGTACGTAAGAAAGACAACACCAGCGTTGCCTCCATCCAAACGTCCTATGTCTCACACATGAACTTCACAGCGCACCACACTGGTGCACTACTAAAGCACAATCGCACTATTCCACCTTCTTCGGATATGGTCCAGCAACTAAGCGAGCACATCACTAGGGTAATAAGGCGGTGGCAAGTCACAACCAGATAATCAAAAAAGAGCTGTCAGTCAAACAGACATCATAGTCCGCCTCCATCCGTTGGTGGAACATTGACACAGATGGCTGTATTACCCACAGCAACTCAACGCCACAACAAATGCAAGATAGCAGTCTGTATAAATACTATGCCACCTCCTCCTCCACCTCCTCACACACAACACATACATTCACAATTATTGATTTCTTTACTGAACCTATTCGTTTGCTCTTTCCCAGTGTGCAACACTTTATTTTGATTGCAGTCGACAATTTGTTGCAATTTTAAATTATTTTTTGTCTATTCGTCTCACTGTTGCTCAATTTTCCATCTACCTACAAATCGCTTAGCACGACTCGGCATGATGTCCAGAAGAACGCAACTTTTAAACTGAATTTTCAGTTTTACTCATCAAGTGCGACTTCGCGTCAGTTATAAACTCACTCAAATTCAAACGAATTTTGTCAATCGCTCTCATCATTTGCCTAATTTCTACCATTACTACTCAATTTCTGAGGTGAGACTAATTTGCATACTTATGTCAAATAAGTATTGAAAGTTTACATCACTCCATCATTATTCTACTTGTGGCTGAAGGGTGTTGAGTCCTTGGTGGGAGGGTGGAATCGGTGGCCCGTGAATGTATTGGCCAGTGCAGTTTGGTCTAATAAGTTTAGAGAACCACAGACTCAAATGGAGGACTGGAAGATGACTGAGGTATATTTTATCTCTAAATGAGAAGGACTTGATATTAAGTGGAAGGAGCATTTACCACCACTAATCTCCAGGTTCTACAGATGAAAATAGACCTTCGGTACAAAACTACTTCTGTTTGATAGTAAAAACACCTTTCCTCACATCTCGCTTTAATTTAAGGTGACTTCAGATGAGGTATTTAGACTTCTTCACTCTTGACTGGGTGTACTTCACGAATTGGAATTTTAGCCAGGGTGCGATATGAATGCTTTTCCTACTTGGATCAATTTCCTACATCCTCACTTATTCATTCATTGATGAGTTGAAAGGTCAACCTGAACAATCTTTTCATTGAAACGCCCTTCTGCATTTTCTGCAACGTATACTCATGCGCCAAATGTCTATAAATCAGCAGTTGCCTTCTAACTACTCTTTCACTTTCGCTCAGATCCACAGTGCTCACTACCTCACTACCTCCCCCACCCTCTCCCCTCTCACCCCACTCCACTTAACCTTTTGTGGCTTTGACGTTGCTTATCCATGTGAAGCCCAATGTCAACCAATTGATGAAGATAACTACAACTGCACAAGCGAATACAGATTGAGTGTACACCTTACTCACCTTACCTTGTCCTCTTCTTTACTTTTGTGTCAGACTGCCTCTTTTACATCTGTGAATCACTCTTCTGTTCCCCCCCCCCCATACACCCTCTCTC